AGATGGATACTCACCTCGATCCGACGTCCGCATCCCCGGGTGTCTGTTTACATCCAGAGGCCGAGTCTTCGCTGTCCTGGTCGTGCCTGTGTGTTACAGCCCCATAGACTTCTATGAGCCTGCGTCCCAAGGCCGGAGACGATCGGCGAAGGTCCAATCAAAGTCTTTGGGGCTGCAATGTAGACAGTCTATAGAGAGCAACAGGTCGGAGAGTCCATAGTCATTGAATGTTGGTGTTGTTCCATAGACTGCCAACAAGTTTTGGGGCTCCCAAACCCCCCTTCCCCCCATACCTTCAACAAGTTTGTACATTGAAAGAAGGAGAGAGTACTTAAGACGGCACAATCACCAGGATTGCGTATTTGTAGCATAATAGATGAAATATTCCTGGAATATTTCATTATCTATTGCTATCTCTGTCCTTGTTGGAGATTTCCACTCACTTCCTGTCCTGGCGACAACACTAATTGTGGACAGATTGAAAAGAATAGCCGTTGTCGATCAGAGCATTTCCAACCGATAATGCAAAACTGGGTGCAACGGACTACCACAATCAAGTCTTTTCACCACCCGGAACAGTAAAGATGGCCGTGTGTGGAAAAGCGTATGGGTTTTAGAGGGGATCGATGGCGGAGATGCTCCACCAGTGTGCGCCTCACCTCCAGATGTCGTTCAGTTCTGTGGGCACCAGTTCTTCGGTCTCACTCTCCACCGTGGCGAATCCTCCGATGGCGAAAAGCGTTCCGCCCATGCTGACCAGGCTGAGGGAGCTGCGCTCCTGGGGGAACTCGGTGAAATCTTCCCACCTGAGGAACCAGAGAGGAGCTTCAATATAAAGCAGATTTGACTTTGTGTGTGTGTGTGTGTGTGTGTACAGTATATATACACTATATTGCCAAAAGTATTGGGCCCCTCCCCCTCCAAATCATGTGATTCAGGTGTTCCGTGACATTCCGTCCAACCCAATACTGAACCCTACGGACTAAGACTGGGATGCCACTAATGTTCATGTGCGTGTAAAGACCATATACAGTATAGTGTATATATACACTGAGTGGCCAGATTATTATGACTCAACCTAACCCCCCCCCACCTCCACAGATAGATACTCTCCTCCATCTGACAGCAGCGGCCCCTGGTGTTTGTTTACATCCAGAGGTGCAAGTCTTCACTGTCCTGGCTGCACCTGTGTATTAGAACCCCATAGACTTGTAATGGCCTGTGTCCCAAGGCAGGAGACGATCAGGGACGATCGTAGAAGGTCCGATAGGAATCATGGGGCTGCAATGCACAGGGGCTGCCAGGACAGTGAAAACTTGCAGCTTGGATGTAAACAAACACCAGAGGGCGCGGCTGTTAGATGAAGGGGGGTATTCATCTGTGGAGGGGAGGGGGGGTTGGGTTGGGTAATGTCAGAGGAAAAGGGTGAAAAGGATTAATGCGCTTTGTCCAGCAGAGACAGTAATTAGACCTCCCAGAATAGCAGAGGGCTGTGACAAGCATGGAAAGGGGCGGAGACTGTGCTGGGAGTTGACTCTTCCTGGAGTGGTCAGATTTTCCAGGCAGTTCAGAGGCACATTGCAAGTGAATATTCAATTATATATATAAATATAATTATATATAGAAAGGAAAACCTTAGGGGGTGACAGGGAAGGATTGCGTCGCATCCAGGGCTCCCAATCAATAGAGAATGGCAGGTTTTTATTTCATTATTTCTTATATTTTTTTTATTTTTATTTATTTCATTATTTTTTTAATCAATTTTTTTTTTCCACCTAACTTTATTTCTATCACACAGGACCTAACAAGCCCCTGTGTGATAGCAATTGGAGGTGACAGGTTCTCTTTATTGAACCTGTCACCTCCAATACAGGTGTTCTAGCACAGCGCTGCGCTGGAACTCCTGCGACAGGTGAGGGGGGGGAAGGCTGCTCTCCGCTCTCACTGTGTACACTGCTCCCTGCATCAGCGGCCAGAAAGAGGAGAGAGACCCGGGGACGGAGCCTGGAGGACTCTGGGCTCTGGAGGTAGGTGCGGGGGAGGTAGGTGCGGGGGCGAGGACGGACGGATGGACCGGCTGCAAACTTTTTACAAGTGATCTCGGCGACATTGCCGTAATCGTACAATCGGCTTCCTCACTTGTGCAAGGCACTTACCGCCCGTAACGTCCCCACAAGGACACCGCTGCCGCCCCTCTGCGCCCTGCCGCCCCAAGGCCGGGTCTCAGTGGCCTTGTAGGGAATCCGGCCCTGGTCGCGTCACTCACTTGTTGGTCTTGATGTCATAGGCCTCCATGGTATTGGTGAGCCCGGTGTCCGTGACTCCGGCGGCGACAAGGACCTTCCCGTTGTGGATGGTGCCCCCAAACAGAGAGCGAGCCGTCTTCATAGGCGCCAAATCCTTCCACTCGAACTTCTTGGGGTTGTAGACGCAAAGACGGTTCAGACATTTCCTGCGGAGAGAGCGTAAAGAGCGCGGCTGAGTGCAACCGAGAGCAACAACGTAACAGCGCGGCCGCCCAGCGATCTGCGCGTGTACTCACTTATCGCTTCCCTTCCCCCCGATGACATAGACCAGGTTGTCGTGGGAGACCACGGCGTGTCCGTACACCGGATAGGGAAGGGGGTCCGACTCCCCCCACTTGAAGGACCTGAAAATGATTGACGGAAAAAATTTATGGAAACATCAAAAATAAATGAATAAAAAATAAAAGCAGAATTTTTAAATAAATGAAGAAAATTAAAATTAAAAAAATGAATAAAATAAATTAAATAAAAATAAATAATAAAATACAATAAATCAAAATAAAGCAAAAATAAATGAATGCAAAAAAAATCAAAATCAAAATGAATCAAAAATAAAAGTAGAATTTTAAAAATGAAGAAACAATAAAAAAAATGAATACAATTAAATTAAAATAAATTAAAATAAATAA